TACACCAGAGCACAATGTAGCGCAGAAATCCACCGAAATGCAGCGTACAGCACAAAATTGAAGCCGTCCTTACCACCGTCCCCTAAACCAACCTATGCGAGCTTAGCATGACTCAACATAACGTGTCGAGACCACTCATGCTGGCCTTGCCAGAGCAAAGCTGAAAATATTAGAGCACTGTAGGGCGCAGAATTCCACACAATGGGTGACTATAGCTCCGAAGAAAAAGCTACGCTCTCCTATCCCAACCTGCCGTAACATAACCAAACGTATCCTAACTCAACCTAATGTGCCGCGACCGCAATTGCTGGCCTGCCCAGAGCCAAGCAGAAGACATTAATGGTGAGTAGGACGCAGAAATCCATAGAAGCGCAGCGCATATCAGAAAAGTCAGAGATACCCAAACCTAATCCAAAGCAGCAGATCATAGCCATACATAGCCTAACTAAAACTAACGTACCGCGACCACTACTGCTTGCCTCCCAAGAGCCAAGCGGAGCGCATTAGTGGAGAGCAGGACGCAGAAATCTATAGAATCGCAATGTATATCAGAAAAGCCAAAGCTATCCGGCCCTACCTTAGCCTTACCGATCATAAACAAACGTAACATGACAAAACATAACGTGCCGAGAACACTATTGCTGGCAATTCCAGAGACAACCTGAAAATATTAATGCGCAGTAGGGCGCAGAAATCCACCTAACAGCAGATATAGCACTAAAGTCAAAGCTACGCTCCCCTAACCTAACCAATAGTAACACAACAGAATGTATCCTAACTCAACCTAACGTATTGCGACCACTATTGCTGGCTTCCCCAGAGACAAGCAGAACGCATTTGTGGAGAGTAGGACGTAGAAATCCATAGAATCGCAGTGTGCATCAGAAAAGCCAAAGCTACCCAATCCAAACCCAATCCAACAAAACATGGCCAAACAAAGCCTAACACAAATTGATGTGCCGAGACAGCCATTACTGCCCTCCCCATAGCCAAGCAGTATATTCTAGGGCGCAGTAGATCTCAGAAACCCACCGAATAGCTGTGTACAGCACAGAAGCTAAAGCTACCCTAACAAAACGTGGCCTAACCCAGCCTAACAGAAAGCAGCTTTGCACAACGTAACGAGCCGAGATCACTGCTGCTGGCCTTGCCAGGGCCAAGCTGAAAATATTAGGTCACTGTAGGGCGCAGGTATCCACATAATAGCAGACTATAGCACTAAAGTCAAAGCTATCATCTCCTAACCTAACTAGCCGTAACACATCCAAAAGTATCCTAACTCAACCTAATGCGCCGCGCCCCCTTTTGGTGGCCTCCCCAGAGCCAGGCAGAACACACTAGTGGAGGTAAGAACGCAGAAATCCATAGAATCGTAGTGTATATCAAGTATTGTGCGCGTTACCGGGGCCCGCCAACTGGCGACCGCGCCGTGCATCGAGCTAATGCTTTATAACGGCTTCACGAAAAAGGTGTTATTGTACTTTCTAGCGTCGCCGCCGCAGGGGAACGCGTGTGTAGGTGTTGGACACGCGGCTTGGAAAAACCCTGCCCTCACCGTTGAAGGATCATCGGACAAGTTGGACCTACCCTTGCGGGAAGCAGCTCACTTGGCCGTGGCTGCGGGTTGTCTAGCAGCCCGCAGCCTCGTTACCAGCGGGGGCCACGTGGAGGCGGAGCTGCCAGCTTTCGCTCGGTCCCAGCAGGATGGCGTGTGCCGATATACCTGCACCGTCCCGGTATCCGTCTCTGGATACCGCCTGCGGTGACGGTCACAGGCGTCTTACCTCTCTTCCCTTGCTGTTTCCTCCGG